AGCTTGCATTGAGCCTACCTGTGCTAGAGATTGAAGATTGGGATGGTGCTCTTTTTAGGGGCACTGTCAGAATATCCAGGGCAATCTTAAATCAGATTCAAACAGGATCATATTCAGAAGTTGAGACATGGGATACTGTGATGTACTGAATCAATGAAGGAAGGACAAGCATGATACTTAACAAGCTTGCTTTCAACCTGGAATACCTCTTTCTTGGTTCAGCTTTTAGAACAAATCAAATTAATTGCTTCTTGAATTTTCTGTGGGATGGTGCATTTTGAAGAAATTATCCCCTTCTGCTATAATCAAGAAGAGGAATTAACAAATAATTCTGCAGGACTAATAATAATAATAATAATAATAATAATAATAATAATAATACTTTATTTATATACCGCTTCATCTCCCCGAGAGGACTCAGAGCGGTTCCCAGGTAACATCACAAAACATAACCATAAGATTGACAAGACAAAATATAAGCATAAAAGACTTCTTGTTCCTGGGGCTTCCCCTGAACTTCTGCAACATGGAATTAATTTTAAATATGCATACTGACTCCTGAAGTCGGTAATCCATCGGCTTCTGCTTGCTTATCTAGCTTGCAGTGGACAAATAGGTCAAGTTGATGGGCTCCTGTGCAGGTGGTTCAGAAAGACACCGCAATATCATTCAGGATATCACCCTAGTAGAGAAGGTTTCAGCTGACATCTTTTCAGGATCTCACCCATGCTACAAGATTCCAGTATGGTCTCACATATTGGGAGATGATGTTTTGGCTCTGTAACCCTATTTTTGTGGCTCCTTTTCATCTTGAACTATAGGGTGAGATAGCTGATGGAGAAAGCCGCCGAAAGTAAGATGGTGGTCGCTTACTGATTTAGAAAAAGGTAATGATGATGATGATAAAACTTTATTTGTATACCTATCTCCTCAAAGGGTCTCTGTGCGGTTTCCAACATATAAGGCAAACATTCAATTGCCAGAGAGAAAACCATACAGACAAATTACATCAAGACAAACACATTAGCACCGTCTGCTGCATCTTCTACGCATATGTGAAATGGGAGGAATCTAGCACTATCTACTCAAGACACGGTGGGGACACCATATCTGTACATGGTGAGCAGCAGCATAGCATGTTGCTCTATGACCTCTGACCCTGAAATTGGAAAATAGAAGTAATCAGAAGCTGAGGACGATTTGTTCAGCAAAGGCTCAGTATATATTGAAACATTAGCCCCATGGACTCTACTGATGAAAGAAATGCCTTTTCTAGCACCCTGCCCTAAATTTGCCCTGTGCCATCCTCCACTTTACCTCTCTGCTCCTCCAAGTGTCTTCTTGCTCTGCATCTCTCATGCCTTTCTCCTTTTACATCTTTGCCCAATTTCTGTAATTGCTTCTGCAAGCTATGCTCTGCTCTCACAACCAATAAAATGTTGTGTCAATTTAGTAGGTGCTTTGCTATTGGCTACTTCTAAATCTTAGAGTTCATGACTTGCTCAAGGTTGCCCAGTGGTTTTCCATGGACAAGTAGTGATTCAAACTCCAGTCTCTCGGGGAACTAGGCAAATACTTAGACCACTGTATTCGACAGCAATGTGTACCATTATCTAATTTTGGATTTTCCAAAATTCAACATCATACAATTTGAGTATCTCTTATCTGAAAAGCTTGGGAACAGAAGTGCTTTTCTGAACAGTATTGTTTCTTCTCTGAACTTGTCACCTCTGCTTTGTTTTTTGGGTTTTTTTTTTAAAAAATTGCATGAATTTATATCCTGACTGTCATGCCTCATGAAGATCCTCACTGTTTATCCTCAGTTAAGCCCTCTTAACTTAGAGGAATTAATATTTTAAATACAATTTCTGGAGGGTCAGTCTAGACAGCCTCTTTGCATTTGAAGCCTTCCTCGCCTGGCCCAGGCCCGTAGCCAGGATTTCGTTTCGGGGGGGGGGGGGAGGTTGTTTTCGGGGGGGGCTGAGTTTCGGGGGGGGCTGAATCTGAGTGAAAGAGGGTCTAGCCTAGCAAACCTTTTGTATCATTACCCCAATACCCCCATGCATATGGGATATATTGAGTATGGTGATCAGATCATGATATGAATAAACATAACAGTTTAAATAATGCACCAGTAAGGCCTTTTCACGAACCACCATGAGAATTTGGGGGGGGGCTGAAGCCCCTCAAGCCCCCCCCCCCCCCGGCTACATGCCTGGCCCGGCCCCTCTAAGAATCCCCTTAAGGGCAGAGCCTCTGGCAAGGCACTTATGGTTCTTGGTGGATTCATCCATTTGGTAGGAGCCCCCAGTGGTGCAGTGGGTTAAACCCTTGTGCCAGCAGGACTGCTGACCGAAAGGTCAGTGGTTCAAATCCAGGGAGCAGGGTGAGCAGCCAGGTCACCTTCCAAGTAGTTAAGATAGCATGGGGGCAGATCACTGCCTTTCTCCCTAAATGGGGTTCATATACATATATATCTTGGAAATGGGATCCAACTATGACACAAAATTCATAGTATATCCAGTCTGAAGGCAGTTTTATACAATAATGTTCTGCATGAAACAGAGTTTGTGTACAATGAACCATCAGAAAGTGCAGATGTCACTCACTATATCAGTCACCCAAGTGAACAACTTTAAATTTTGGAATATTTGGGATTTCAGAATTTTAGATAAGGAATGCTCAACTTGTATGAGAAGACATGCAACATAATCACGGGACCTTTTTCCCTTTCCCCCTCCTGCAGCCCTTTGTGTCACTTGAAACCTGCTGCAGAGAGTTTCCAGAGCATGTGCAGTGGGAGGGGGGGATCGCTCTCCACCTCCAAGAGAGCTGACAAAAACAGTTCTGTCAGCAGATTGGATTCTACCCAGAATGTAGGATCACTGTGCCTCAAAGCATGAGCGTTAACCATATGTAGTGAACAACAATTTTTTGGCCTTCCCAACCCAGAAATTCACACATAAAAGGGATTATACTGAATCAAAAGGAACTGCATCTATCTAGCAACCTGTTTCTAACAGTGATTGAATCAGACACCAATTAAAGCTCCGTTGCCATTTTAAAGAGTCCCCCAAGCACCTTGCTTTGGAAATGTTCAGTTTTGCCTGGAAAAGTCCACTGAAGTAAAGCTTCACTAAATCCAGGTCCTTTGTTGTTCTCTTATCTCCTTCATATTGTTAACCAGGTGAATGCTTCTTCACTGTTTTTTCCAATTCTTGCAATAGTCTCGATGGGAAAATCGCTCTCAACACTGAGGATCCATTTAGCTATACGGGCAGTCCGAGTTACAAGCATCTGATTTACAAATGCCTCATACTTAAGAACGGGAGTGAGAGAACAGGAAGTGAGAGGAATCTAGCCCTTGGAAGGGAAATTCGCTCCTGAAAGTGTTATCAAGGGGAAAAGGTGTCTCCACTGAAGCTTTATCACCAATCTTTGTTTTTGCAACAAGCCAGATTTTTCTAAATCCAATGATCACAGCGATAGAAGGTGAGGTGAAATTCTGAACAGAGGCACAGACATTAAAACAAGCATTACAGGGGTTTTAACCCTTCCCTCTGGTATCCAAAGCTAAAGATATGAATATTTTTGCCTGGAATTACACTTTAAAAATGTACCTGTTCCAATTTACATACTAATTCAATTTAAGAAGAAACCTACAGAACCTAACTTGTTTGTAACTTGGGAATTGTCTGTATCATGACTAATAAGAATTGGTAGTCTTATCCCCATAAATTTGGCTAACACCGTTTAAGAATGAAGTTGTTGCCGGGATTCAACCCCACACTGCCAATGTCTCAAGTCCTCAATGAGGAACAGTTTCGTTAGTTTAGAATAGGATAAGGATTTCCCTTCCCCCATGTCTCCTGTATGACAGTTGGAAATGTATTTATTTATTCTCTCCTCTCTGTTTCTGCTCTCATTCTGAATGGTTGTGTAGAATGAAGACTTTTCTACTGCAAGCTTTTACTTTGACTTCTGTTTCTTACATCTAAGTATGTGTTATGTGCTTTGAGATTCCTCTCTGCTTGTGTGTCAGGAGAAATGTAGTGATTTGTATTTTTTCTCTCTCTTTGAAACCTTAGGAGAAATGGGTGTTAGAGTAGCTCCGACCCAGTTTATTTACCATTAAGAAATGCAATTATTTCTTATTGTTGTAAATAAACCTTTTGTGATTTTTAAGATTGGACTCTGCACCTTTGCCTGCCTAAGCTCTACATTCTTTACATCCACAACCAACGGCATTTCATGTTGTGCTCGTTAATAAGCTGGTGCTCAACTTTTGTACCCTGTTTTATTTTTGGATGCTCTGCTACATTTTAGGGTAGTTTGCCCTAACAGTAGTAGCCTTTATTATGGCCAATGGCAATGGATTTCATAAATTAATTGTGCCTTTTAAGAAGATAGGCAGCATGTAGGGAGAATTAACAACCAGAGATTATGGGAATTCAAATAATTCAAATTGTTCAATATATCTGGAGGGCACCACACTCAGGGAAGGATACGTTTCCTACCTGCATTTCTTCCAGGGATCTCAATGAGGCATTCCCTGGCAGCGTGGCCATGATGTAATCTCCACTGAAAGGGATAGGAATAGCTTTATGTATTTATATCCTTAATTTCCTCTTCTATGGGACCCAAAACAGGTAATACAGCCTGCTAACATCCACAGGGCATTCCTAAATGCTGTCCACTGGAGGAAAAAAAATCACTCTCCAAATAGAGAGCCACTGCTTCAGAAGCCTCCAAATGATATGAATCTCCATTTTAAGGCTATTTTGAACACCTTTTATGAAGCTGAAGTACTTTTCTGAGCCTGTCACTTCTAGGATTTTTTAATGGACAGGGATGGCTCACAAAGCCTGGGGGTGGGCTGCAAAAAGAGGCAGGTGTTCCTCCCTCCCTTCCATCTGTTGTTGCCCACCACTGATTTAGAATCCCTAAAGTAATATCTTTATTTGAGAAAAGTAGTCAAATAAAATGAAACTAACCAAATGTGATTTAGAATTGATTGTTTTTACTTAGGGTTCTTCAGTATGAGAGTACATTCACACCAGAGATCAGATCGTAACATTTATGTTTTTGCACAATAGCTCATAGAATTCCCCTGGCAGCATAGCCATGATGTAATCCAAAAAAATTAACCTTTACGAGGCCTGAGTCAAGCAAGATGCAGCACATCAGCCATACACAGAAGAGTTCCCTTCAGCCTTGGCCCGCAGAAGAATGCATCTGTATGACAACCAGAACAAAAGGGAAAGGTAAACTTAAAAGGAAAAGAAAGAGATCAGCAAAAGCCAGCGTGCCATCCTGGTTGTGACATCACTACTATCCAGTCCCGGAACTGCATCCTTTTATGTGCCCAGTAAAGTAAATAAAACATTTGCATTTCCAACACTATAAAAAATCAACAGCTGTTTTCCTTTAGGGTTTAGTTCATTTCCTACTTGAAGGGGGAGTCAACATAAGATTTTTAATCTGGATGAAGAAACAACAGCTGTATTTTTAAAACACTAAAACTGTGTTGGTTACATGAGCAGAGGAGTGAGAGATTAAAGTTGTTCCAAACAGCTGTCCCATTTCATGTGAGCATCTGTTTTCTGGCTCTGGATATCTGGGTGTTGTGAGATACTCATGATTCTGCATCTAAAAACATTCCTGGGCACAAGGGACATTTTAATGCACTGAAATGCACTGAAATTCCAGTGAGGTCAAAAAGTATTCCATAAGTCACTAGATAGAAGCTTTTTTATCTGCTTGAACAAGGAAAACAGCAAACCTATGCCATATGTCACTCTTGTCCAAAAGGTGTTTTTGAAAGAACATGTTTAACTTGCACCCAAAAGGAAGAAGGAAATATATTGGGACAAGACCAGATTTCACAACCTGAATGCTTTTGGAGAAAAAGCTACCTTAGGTTGAATTGCGCACCTACACGCGTTTGGATCTTTTAAACTAGCTGGTGATACTGATACTGAAATTAAACAAATTCAGTACAGGTCAAAATGCGGGAAAGACTCAATCCTCAAAGCAAACTTCTTTGACAATGCAACCACATTATTCAACTAAGAGAATGATTCCTTGGAGTATATCTATTTAAAACAACAGCACTTGAGTCAATCACAACTAATTTAAGTCCTGTTGACTCTGACAGGTCTATTTTAAGTACAGAGTCTAGATCCAACCCAGTGTTGGACACAGTCCATCATTTATCACAATTCAGATTGTTTATGATCCAGACAGTTGTCTGTTAAATAGAAATCAGCCAAATAAAAGCCAGCCTCCCTATCCGGGTTTGAATACAGAGTATAAAGTTAAAGGTTTTCCCTTGACATTAAGTCTAGTCGTGTCCGACTCTGGGGAGTGGTATTCATCTCCATTTCTAAGCCAAACAGTTGGCATTGTCTATTGACACCTCCAAGGTCATGTGGCCAGCATAACTACATGGAGCACCGTTACCTTCCCACTGGAGCGGTACGTATTGATCTACTCACATTTGCATTATTTTTGAATTGCCAGGTTGGCAGAAGCTGAAGCTAACACCTGGAACTCACCCCACTCCCCAGATTCGAACTACAAACCTTTCGGTCAGCAACAGCACAGCGGTTTAACCTGCTGGGCCACTGGGGGCCTGAATACCTATCTTACCTTAATTTCTAAAAGGAGAGGTCAGTAGCTGGAATCACTACTTTACATTATTGATTGAATTTTTATTATATTGTTCTCTGGTTCCAAGTGCATGTTGCAGGGCAAGAGTGGAAATAGTCTAAAGGCAGTTTAACCTCAGAGGCACTCTTCATTCATAATTTTCCTTCCCATGCTACAGAATAGTTTTTCTTTATAGTTGTGGGTTGACCTCTGAGAAAGCTTGCCGTCTAATAAAAGCCTTGATTTCTCTCTTTCTGGAGCAGGGGGTTATATACATGGTGCATCTGTGAAATGGTCAAGAATTATGTAAGATGTGTTGTAGAAGGCTTTCATTGCTGGAATCACTGGGTTGCTGTGAGTTTTCTGGGCAGTATGAACATGTTCCAGAAGCATTCTCTCCTGACGTTTTGCCCACATCTATGGCAGGCATCCTCAGAGGTTATGAGCTCTGTTGAAAACTAGGCAAGTGGGGCTTATATATCTGTGAAATGAACAAAATGAGCAAAATCTGGCTACCAGTATTTAAAAAACTCTAAAATCAGGACAGTAAATAAAGAGCAACACTCAGAAAACAAGGGAATTCCAGACAGGAAACCATCAGGGCCAGCTAACACCTCCCAACAAAGAATTCCCCTAGGCAGGAGGCAGCCAGGCTTTGAAGCTGCAAGGCCATTCAGTGCTAAACAAGGTGGTCAATTGCAACATTCACACTTGCCCAAAACAGACAAGAGTTCTTTCTCCCACTCTGGACATTCCACAGATATATAAAACCCCACTTGCTTAGTTTCCAACAGACCTCACAACTTCCATGAGGATGTCTACCATAGATGTGTGCGAAATGTCAGGAGAGAATGCTTTGGAACATGGCCATATAGCCTGGAAAACTCACAGCAACCCAATAGCTTTTCAAAGCAGCACTCATATTGCAGCAAGAAAAGAAATTTGGAAGCACCCTTAAGACAAACTATAGCTAGATTCAGCCTTCCACAGCTTGGACGTTTCTGAATCCAATCCAGTTTCTGAATCCAAATTATCTGCTTTGAACTGGATTGTGCGAGTCTACGCTGCCACATAATCCAGCTCAAATCAGATAATCTGGATTCAGAAACTGGATGGCATGGCAGTGTCGATGTAGCCTCAGTGCTATGGAATCCTGGAACTGGGGTTTAACAAGGCGTCTAGCCTTCTCTGCCAGAGAGGGCTGGTGCCTCTCCAAACTGCACATCCCATGATCCTATAGCACTGAGCCTACTTGAGGGACCGCATCTCCTCCTATCAGCCCTCATGAGCCCTGAGGTCATCAGGAGAGACCCTCCTCTCGGTCCCACCTCTGTCACAAGTACGGTTAGTGGGAATGAGGGTGGGGGGCTTTTTAGTGGTGGCCCTGTAACTCTGGAACTCCCTCCCCAAAGAGGCATGTTTGGCCCCCTCTGACTTTTTGCTCCCAGGTGAAAACCTCTTTATGGAAGCAGGCCTTTGGCCACAACACACAATAGCAGCTTGTCTCGGTCAGACAAGGCTCGCATGGCCAAAGACTTAGAACTCTGAGACGTTTAGTTTAATGTTTTAGGACAATCTTCAGTGGCCTGAGGCAGAGGGGTTTTAATGTTAAGGTTAATGATAATGATATATGTGGTTATTTTTTTGCTTATTTATATGTAATTTGTGTTTTAGGCAATGAGTTGATTTATTGTTTATATGTTGGATTGGGGGGGAATGATGGTCATCTGTGTTATGTAGCTTTGTTTTTTCTATTTTGTTCACCACCTTGAGCCCCATCTGTGGGAGAAAAGTAAATAAATTATTATTATTATTATTATTATTATTATTATTATTATTATTATTATTATTATTGGAAGTTCAAGGAGTACCAAAGGCAGTGGTTCTCAACCTGTGGGTCTCCAGATGTTTTGACCTACAACTCCCAGAAATTCCAGCCAGTTTATCAGCTATTATGATTTCTGAGAGTTGATGGTCAAAACATCTGGAGACCCACAGGTTGAGTTGCAGTTAACCATCAAAGAAACCAAGATTATGGTAACAAGACTGATGAATAACTGGCAAATAGAGGGAGAAAACGTGGAGGCAGTGACAGACTTTGAATTTCTAGGTGCGAAGATGCAGAGGCAGACTGCAGCCAGGAAATCAGGAGACGCTTACTTCTTGGGAGGAGAGCAATGTCCAATCTCGATAAAATAGTGAAGAGAAGAGACATCACTGGCAACGAAGATCCACATAGTCAAAGCCATGGTATTCCCCGTAGAAGCTATGGATATGAGAGCTGGACCATAAGGAAGGCTGAGCGAATGAAGATAGATGATGGAGGAAAATTCTGAGAGTACCTTGGGCCACGAGAAGATTCAACCAGTCCATACTCAGGAAATAAAGCCTTATTGGAGGGAAGGATAGTAGAGGCAAATATGATGTACTTTGGCCACATCAAGAAGAAAGGAAAGCTTAGAGAAGACAAATGATGCTGGGGAAAATGGAAGGAAAAAGGAAGAGGGACCAACCAAGGGCAAGATGGATGGAGGATATCCTTGAAGTGACTGGCTTGACTCTGAAGGAGCTGGGGGTGGCCACGGCCGACAGGGAGCTCTGGTCCATGAGGTCACAAAGAGTCAGAAGTGACTGAATGAATACACAACAACACAGGTTGAGAACCACTGATTTAAGCACTTCATCACACTGACTAGCCAGCTGGTTGTTAGAAATGGTGGAAACTGAAGTCCAAAACACCTGGAGTTTGCCTGTACTAGAGCATCTATCCACTTTAAATCTGTCTGCCTACTTCAGAATTCTGGGTTTTGTAGTTTAGGGAGGGGCCAGGGCCTCTCTGGCTGAGAATTTTGAAGACCTCGCAACCTCTGAGGATGGCTGCCACAGATGTGGGTGAAACGTCAGGAGAGAATGCTTCCATACAGCCTGGTAAACTCACAGCAACCCAATGTAGTTATTTCTCTACCCCGAGAAGGGTTAGAGATTTTTATGCGCAGTGGAGGGCTTTCATGGCCGGAATCACTGAGTAGCTGTAAGTTTTCAGGGCTATCTGGCCATGCTCCAGAAGTATTCTCTCCTGATGTTTCACCCACATCTATGAAAGGCATCTTCGCAACCTCTGAGGATCCCTGCCATCGATGTGGCCGAAACGTCAGGAGAGAATGCTTCTGGAACATGGCCGGACAGTCCAGAAAATTGTAAAGACCCCACCCTAAACTACAAACTCCATAATTCTGCAGGGGGCAGCCACCGGATCTGAAGTGGATGGTGGTGTAGATGATGTCCTTTGTCTTCCAGGTGTTTTGGACTCCGACTCCCAGAAGCCCTCAGCTCAGCCGATTGGGCATGTGAGCAGGGATTTCGGGAGCTGGAGTGCAAAACACACGCCCGTCTGCCTGGGAGAAGAGAACAGAGTCCCATTCAAGCGGGCCTCCTCCTCCTCCTCCTCCTGCTCCCTTTCCCCCTCCCCTTCGGAGGCACGTGCCTCCCCGCGGAAGAGCGCGATCTGCCGCCCGCGGTTGGAGCGAGCCTGCTGCTTCTCCGCCTCCGCCTCTGCCTCTTCCTCGCGCGCCATCGGCGGCCCCTCCTCGCGCTCGCTCTTCCTCCATCCTCCTCCTCCTCCTCTTGCTGCCTTGGAGCCCGGGTTCGAGGCTGGGCTTGGGCTGGGATGGCGCGGGGCTGAATCCGGACCGGCCCCTCCGCCATGGCCAAGCAGTACGACGTGCTCTTCCGCCTCCTGCTCATCGGCGACTCCGGCGTGGGCAAGACCTGCCTCCTCTGCCGCTTCACCGACAACGAGTTCCACCCCTCGCACATCTCCACCATCGGTAAGGAAGGCGAGAGAGAGAGAGAGAGAGAGAAAGGATCTCCTCTTCCCAATCCATGCATTCGGTGGGTCTGCACTGACCATCCCAACTGCATGGCTTGGGCAGCCTAGATCCAAGCCCGAGGGAGCCACCTGGGAGTTGAGGAGAGAGCCAGGAATCGACAGGCACACTGCGTCTTTGGCGCGGGTTCAGCGCGGATGCAGCCGCACCGATGTGGGGGGTTGGAAGAAGAAGCCATCCAAAGCGGGAAAGGCGCCCCCCCCTCCCCCCGCGCGCGCGCGCTCTCCCCGCTGCTCTTTCCTCCCTGCCCTGCCCTCCAGGTACCTGCTCAGTCCTGCACCAAGGCTGGTCTACATTCAGGGCTGCCTCGCCTCCAAACCCATCCTCCAGGGCTGCCCTCCTTGCATTCCCAGCCCGCTCTGCCTCCCTTCTCCTGCCCTGGAGGTGCCACCTCACCTCAAAGGGGAACCTTTCCCCAAAAGTGACGTCATTGTTCTCAACAGTGTGGTAGACCCCATGAGTCATAGCAAGCGACCTGAGGGAGGTGGATTGGACATCCCAGCAGGACAGATTGCATCCCTCTCTTTCTGCCTTCTGGAATCCCTATTACTGGGAAGCCAGGCCTTCAGGCAGTGGTTCTCAACCTTCCTAATGCCCTGACCCTTTAATACAGTTCCTCATGTTGTGGTGGCCCCCAACCATAACATTGTTTTCGTTCCTACTTCATAACTGGAATTGTGTTACTCTTATGAATTGCCATGTAAATATCTGATATGAAGGATCTATTTTCATTCACTGGACCACATTGGGCACAAATACCCCATACACCCAAATTTGAATACTAATAGGGTTGGAGGGTAGATTGATTTTGTCATTTGGGAGTTGTAGTTGCTGGGATTTATAGTTCGCCTACAATCAAAGAGCACTCTGAACTCCACCAATAATGGCATTGAACCAAACTTGGCACACAGAGCTGCCATGACCAACAGAAAATACTGAAAGGGTCTGGTGGGCATTGTTGTTTACCTAAGGTTGTAGTTCACCTTCGGGAGTTTGGTGGGCATAGACTTGAGTTTGGGAGTTTTAGTTCAACTACATCCAGAGAGCACTGTGGACTCAAACAATGATGAATCTGGACCTAACTTGGCACAAATCCTCAATATGCCCAAATGTGAACACTGGTGGAGTTTGGGGAAAATAAACCTTGACATTTTGGGAGTTGTAGTTGCTGGGATTTATAGTTCACCTACAATCAAAGAGCATTCTGAACTCCACCAATGATGGAATTGAACCAAACTTGGCACACAGAACTCCCGTGATGAACAGAAAATACTGGAAGGGTTTGTTGGGTATTGACCCTGAATTTAGGAGTTGTAGTTACCTACATCCAGAGGGCACTGTGGTTTCAAACAATGATAGATCTGGACCAAACTTGGCACAGATACAATATGCCCAAATGTGAACACTGGTGGAATTTGGGGAAAATAGATCCGCCTAGTCAAAGCCATGGTATTCCCTGTAGTAACCTACGGATGTGAGAGCTGGACCTTAGGGAAGGCTGAGCGAAGGAAGATAGATGCTTTTGAACTGTGGTGTTGGAGGAAAGTGCTGAGAGTGCCTTGGACTGCGAGAAGATCCAACCAGTCCATCCTCCAGGAAATAAAGCCTGACTGCTCACTGGAGGGAAGGATACTAGAGACAAAGTTGAAGTACTTTGGCCACATCATGAGGAGACAGGAAAGCCTAGAGAAGACAATTATGCTGGGGAAAGTGGAAGGCAAAAGGAAGAGGGGCCGACCAAGGGCAAGATGGATGGATGGCATCCTTGAAGTGACTGGACTGGCCTTGAGGGAGCTGGGGGTGGTAACGGCCGACAGGGAGCTCTGGCGTGGGCTGGTCCATGAGGTCACGAAGAGTCGGAGACGACTGAACGAAGGAACAACAACAACAAGACCTTGACATTTTGGGAGTTGTAGTTGCTGGGATTTATAGTTCATCTACAATCAAATGGCATTGAGTCAAATTTCCCACACAGAACCCCCATGGCGAACAGAAAATTCTGTGTTTTCTGATGGTCTTTGGCAATCCTTCTGACACCCCTTCACGACCCGCTCCCAGGGGTCCAGACCCCCAGGTCGAGAAACACTGCCCTAAGGTATCCCCAGAGTCTGTCACTTCCCACATTTTCCCTCTAGGTATTTTGGACTCCAACTCCCACCATTCCTAACAGCCTTAGGCTCTTTCCTTTTCACCTGCCTGGGCATAACATGGAAGAGGCCTGCTGCTGGGCATCTGTTTTTGTTTTGTATGGGGAATAAGCCCACACGTCCATATCTGCCTAGTACTGTTAGCCGCTACTGTATGAGCCCGATCTATTTTTAGATCCAGGAGTGACTTGTGTGGAGCAGGCTCCATCCGCCAAGAACAGAACATGCAAAGCATCCTTAAGAAAGGCAGAACCTGGTCTGGTCAAAAGAGCAGCTTGTTTTCTTGGTTCTCCCCCACAAATCGTGCAGGGCAAAGCAGCCAAGGCTCAGTCAAAATTGTGATACATGAGAGAAACCATTGGCAGTAACATCTCTCAGCTAAAGACCAGAGGGATCTTGGAGCGTCCTAGAAAAAGAGAGAATGGAGTTGGTAGCATAAGCTTCCATTCATAGACTGAGTCTACAGTAGGCATGGGCAAACTTGGGCCCTCCAGGTGTTTTGGACTCCAACTCCCACCATTCTGCGGCTGAGGGGGAAAAGGAAGGGGCCTGAGGCTGTTAGGAATGGTGGGAGAATGAAATTTTGGACAGATGAAATGTAAGAAGGGTGGCTTGAAATGGATGGAGGGGAGCACCGTGGTGGAAAAAGGGGGGAAAAAATGAGAAAAAGGGGGAGAAATGTCATAGTAAAATAATAAAATAACATGTTAAAGAGGTTGATGTACAAAATGTAATAGCATGTAATAAAGTGATAAATCAATAAAAAATTTATAAAAAAAAATAAAAAATAAATAAATTTTGTCGTAAAAAAAAAAAAAAGGAATGGTGGGAGTTGGAGTCCAAAACAACTGGAGGGCCCAAGTTTGCCCATGCCTAGTCTACATCCTTAGATGTTCTTCAGAATATGTGTAGAGGAACTGCATGTTGAGCAACTGCAGCCATGCCTTACATTTCAGAGATAGGAAGCTGAGCTTCCAGGTCAGAGCTTCCAGGCCATTTCATTTTCATAATTGAGCCTGCAGAAAGTCTGCTGCAGACTGGGGAGTCTGGGTGTATATATTGTGTGAAAAGGAGCATTCCTAGAAGTGTAGTGATAAATGTGGACGTAACTGTGTTTCTGTGCCTGCCTTTGATTCCGGTGCTCATCACAGTAGTCAGTTGTTTCTTGTTTTCTGGTTTGAAAAGGATGTCACTTGGATTCATGATGCTAGCTGAATGCTGACACTGTGATTTGCACCTTCTCTATATTTGCACTTTGATAACGTAATTTCCACTGAGTTGTTGTGAGTTCTCTGGGCTGTATGGCCATGTTCCAGAAGCATTCTCTCCTGATGTTTCACCTGCATCTGTGGCAGGCATCCTCAGAGGTTATGAGACCTCAAAACCTTTGAGGATGCCTGCCATAGATGCAGGTGAAACATCAGGAGAGAATACTTCTGGAACATGGCCATACAGCCCGGAAACTCAAAACAACCCAGTGATTCCGGCGATGAAGGCCTTCGACAGTAACTTCCACTGTTTTTTTCCCTCCATTATTCTTAAGTCCCTCGGTGCTGACAATATCACTTGTACTTCCCTTGTTTTCCTGTCTCCTTTGTCATAACTTGTTTACATTTTTGTAAATGTCAAACTATAGTAATGTTATTATACTATGATGTCAGAGTGTTATGACACAACTGTCTTATTTTTTAATTGAAGATAAAATATTAATCATAATAGAAAAATATCACCATGGCATGGTGTATTTCATAAAAGCAGAGGAAAAATACAATAAGATCCCATATCCAAGGGACCACAGTGGTGCAGTGGATTAAACCGCCATGCTGCAAAACTTGCTCACCAGAAGGTCCATGGTTCGAATTGGTGGGATGGGATGAGCTGCCACTGTTAGCCCCAGCTTCTGCCAACCTAGCAGTTCGAAAACATGCAAATGTGAGTAGATCGATAGGTACTGCCTTGGCGGGAAAGTAATGGCGCTCCATGCAGTCATGCCAGACGCATGACCTAGGAGGTGTCTATGGACAACGCCGGCTCTTTGGGTTAGAAATTGATATGAGCACCAACCCCCAGAGTTGGACTTAACTAGACTTAATGTCAAGGGGAAACTTTTACCTTATCAGTGGGGGGATGCATTCCAGAAACCATGGATAATAGAAAATCCAATATTTGCATCCAAAGCATACCATAGAATCACAGTGGCGGACCTGGGGAAGCCCCAAAACATTTCTGAAGAGGAATATTTTTTGGAGTGAGGGTAACTGAAACCATGGATACCGAGTCTGCAGATAAGTGGGTCATGCTTTGTTTGGATACATGCAATGAAAGTAACAGAGTGGTGGCTTCCAAGAGTTAACAGGTCAGGATCACACTATTGTATTATACCACCATTTGTCTTTAGAAAAAAACTAGAAATATTGAAAAGGACTTTCAAGAGTATAGACTCAAACATAGAAAGCAAATCAAGAAACACGTTCTTTTGAGAAGTCTTGCCCTTCCTGACCAGGCACCCAAAGTAATTGGAGCCTTCTCTGCTGGAGATTTCTGTGGGATTCCCAAAGGAAATAACAACTAGACCACAACCACATTGCATCCACTATACATGTTCTCTCAATGATGTGGGGTGGGACATTTTCATACAAACTGGCTACCAAATCATAACATTAAGAGATTGTTTCCATCAGGACAAATCATGTAGAGTCATTTCAAATGTCTCTACATCACAGCACCAGGAGAGCCATGACATAATGTAATCAGGCTAATGTAAAGGCAGGATTAATCCAACAGTATAACAGCACTGTGTGATAAATCTCTCTGTCCATGAAAGACAAAATGTTGAAAATTAACTTTGATTGTTTTTCCTTTGGAAATTGTGGCAAAAAGCAACTGATCACTAGAGAATAGAGGTGCATGTGGGCATCCCTACCGCTACAAAGTCATTTGTTAAAAGAATCAAGATTTAGTTGGATGTTCTTCCAATAGAAACCAATTCTTAAAGGGACATCCCTTTTTGCGCTTGTACAGCCTACATTATAATAGACCTTGGTAGTAGAGGCAGAGTAAGTTAAGTGTTGCTGCTCGCACATAGTTAAGCCTGGAAATAATCTGGGGGTTAACCTGATCCAAAAACCACTAGTTTCTATTATGCCCTGAGGAATGACTCCGGGGTTTGTTTTTTCCCCTAACTGTTCCTATGTCACTTAGAAACAAAACTATCAAAATGTGTGATCAACCCCCCTGTA